ATATAGCGTCTGGGTTTAATATAAAACAAACCGCATGCAACTTTAATATATAAACAAATGACTGTATATCTATACTATAGGACAGTTGTACACCTTTGTCAAGAAAATCTACTCTGCAAACTACCTGTGAACATCAATAGATCACTGATTGAACCACTATATTACATGTAGTCTATATATGAAAATGAGTTTTTTAATAGCTCTAGTACCAGGTTTTCCACTATATACTATTGTTTTTCAAACTAGGAAGCAGTCTTGTTCTTGCCATTTTATAATTTTTCATCTATATAAATTCTGTCAAAATTGTTCCCATACCCTACTTCCAATATTACATAAGAATACGAAGAAACATTGTTTGTGTATATAACTACACCCATAAACATTTATTTCGACATTAACAACTGATTGTCAACATTTATTTTAACATTACATTAACATTTATTGTTATGTACAGTATATATACATAAAACTATATTATTATAGGGATATGTCGGATCTGTATACATATTTTACGATACAAGGTTTATATATGTATGGTAAATTTACTAAATTGTTATCACCAAATTTCTATATTAACGTTCCACAATTTAAGGGCAGCTCTAGCTCCGCGCTGCATTTTCATCGAATGTTATAGTGAGTACATGGAACATATCCCAAAGTTGTCAAATTCGCGATTCAAAAATTTTTCAAGGTACCTCAATTCACCCTGACCCCTATATCGTTCTGAAATTGTCATGTTTATTCAATAGTAGTTCTGATTTGATTTATGAAGAACAACTATTGATTTATAAAGAAATCTACCCAGCCATTGCTCTTAACCAATGAGATCACAGAAAGGTGGCTCGTTTTAATAGGTGACCAAAAACATTTACTGGAAGTTTTTACCAGTTCAAAGGTATATTCTGAGAGATTCTGCAACCTTAAATACGGTAAAATCTTAAGGTACTTACTTTATATATAACGGCATGACTTAACAATTAATTCTATATACATCGCGAGACCATGGCGAATTCAGAGCGAGATCATTTACATAACTGCATGCCGAGTACAGATGAACAGCATTATATGTGTTCTGCATTCTCGACATTACGCAAAATTTGGTCGGTTCTCCAGTTCTTACTCACGGCTCGCCTAGGATTCGTGTAAACGTTACTCTTTATAATATATATTTTGATGATATATTTTTAAGTCATCCGTTATTTATAATTATTATTATGCGTATATGTGATTCACACTGAAGACGTAAAAATTCAAAAATTTATGCAATTCTGCTTATTAATGAAAGTAACTTTCGTCTCCAAAAATCTAAAGCTCTTGCCACTATAATGTATATACTATACTTATATATAAACATTTGATATCCGAGGGGGAAAGAAACAATCACTTTGCTTTGCCTATAGTTTACAATTACGTTTTTCTTTCATTTTGCGAAGACAATCTATACTATATTATAGGCAATAATGATTTATTTCATTGCCTCCTAATATTGCTGGATACTGTTTGATAAAGGCTTTACATTTTCCCTTAGTATATATGATGTAATGGTAATTTAATTTAATTTATCGCCAGTACTTTGCTTACGTTGTGTGGTTTTGATTTCATGCTGCTTATGCAATTATCAACGTTTGACTTTGTACTTATATGTTGTTCAAATTTACCAATTATTTTGGCGATATAGCTCTTTTAGCCGAGAAAAATCAGGACGAAATCTCTAACCCATTTTACAAATATTGACTAAACATTCGTTTCTTTTGAATTTTCTTCACGGCACGTTGACTTGAATTTCCTTCATTTCAATTTTTATTATTTATTGAGCTGTGCATGCGAGCCTCGATGTCAGTCATGTACTTATAAACGGAACCATGAACATGCATGAGCTTATATATAATTGTCTTACAGTTCTAAATTTACGTCTTATATATACAAACTAATTTATCAATTATATTGAAAGCACATTATGATGAACATATTAAAACAATCTCTTCAACTTATGCATGAATGCAACATCTGAATTTTACAGTATAATTATAATGATGCAACATCTGAATTGTATATACTGCATGACATTGAACAGTATTCTAAGTGAATCTTACAAAAAAAAACTTAAAATAACTTTTAGTATATAATTATACGCTATTCACATTTATCTTAATTAATGTGCATGGAATTTTTCCTTGACGTAAATTCATTTCTATAACTGGCAACTATGATCTCGTATAGTGATATACCAATATAACGGTTGCAACTGTAGTGAACTGCCTTTTTATATTGACTTAATATCTACTAAACTAAACTAAATATATCAGCAAAAGGTTTTGCACCACTTATATATAGTACTCTTCCCGAATACCAACAAGTGTCAAGTTGTATGCATCCATGAAAAATACCTTTATGTTATTTTACTAATACCTATAATTAGCTAATAATCGTTTCAGGATTAACCTATAACTACTGTAGTGCTGAATAAACTGTTATTAACACCATAGACTATATAGTATAATAAAGTAATAAAGCGCTTCCAATTCGCAATATATACATGCAGTAAGCAGAATTAAAAGTGTTTTAAATATTTACACCCACATTGAATATTTACATGATATTTATACATGATGTTATATATACATGTGATAAAATTGCACAGCCACAGCTGCACTACATTTAGTGATGAGCTGTAGCTTGTGAAAAAAACCCATAAAAATTTAAAACAAAGCAAAAGAACATCGCTTTGTTTGGCTATCAAGTCCGTTCTCAAGTCGTGTCATACTTTGATTTAATGCTTTGATTCGTAATTTGTTTTGAAACAAGTTGCAATAAACTTTATCGTGGCTTGTTACTGCATGGTGCGAGTTTATTTGTTCAACCGCTGAGAATGCTCTCGATGAGGACAAACGTTTCTTGTATCTCATTTATGGACGTATATACTTGTTTAATTCATTATTCTCTTTGTTCTCTGTGATTGTTTTTGGAGCGTGATATCTTCTCTTTTGTTTCCGAATTTGTAAACCGTTTATAATCATAGACGTATAGCCAGAACCTCGACTAGAAATCCTGGCGACATCACTCTGAGTGCCTAACGAAACAACACGCTCCTATTAAATGGTTTATTGTAAAAACACGGAAACTATAATATAAGTCGCGAAAACTTCTATACGGAGGAGAGAGCTAATGAGCTTTGCCAACGGTACTAAACTATTTCAAGAATTCAATTGTGTGATTTTAATTAAAAGAAGCATCAAAACAAAGCAAAGCACGTGTATGGGCAGAACGGACTTGACCGCCACTTTGAACCTTTATCACGGTTATTTCTTGCCTTGACGCTTCCCAGTAATGGGGTGCCTTTCTAACTTGTGAGCAAAACTCTCCCGGCAGATGGGGCATCGAGTACTAAACGTAAGAAAGTTTGAAAATTGTACAATATAATTATTGACTAAACTGAAATAGAAGGATCGTATTAAGCCCAGGTCATACTACACAACGATAACGATACGATAACTTGTAAACAAGCGATGATTGGTCAAAAAAATTATGTTGTTGTCCACACTACAACGAAAATGATAAAATTATCGTTTGACGATAACGATTTTAAAATCGCTCACCCCAGCGATTTTTTTTTTCAGTCGGATGATAACGATAATTTTTTTTACCAATCAGCGCGCGTATACAAGTTATCATATCGTTGTGTAGTGTGACCGGGCCTTTACACAACAAATAAGTAGAAATCGTGAAAAAAGGAGCACCTTGCATGCAAATTTTATTTGGTGCGCAATAATATACAGGTCTTGTGTTCATGTAAATGTTTACAAAACAAGATGTTTATTGCGATAACCATGGGTGCTTCCTGTCGCCTGAAAAAACGTGTCATGTGTTCTGAATAAAATTTCTGAGCTATGTCAAAATAATTACTCGTGGACCAATCAGACGTCGCCGTTCCCACGATGCGGTCACATACCTGGATGTTTTAACGCGAAAACATCGCACTTTTTTCGAGCGAGAGGAAGGATTCACGGTTTTGGTAAAACCGAGTTTTCACTGCATGTTGTCTTGTGATAATACATGCACGGAGTTTTCTCAGTGCAGGCAATTAAACGAATATGGAACCTAATCAACAGTAGGTACAAGCATACATGAAGTTGTGCTAATACATATTATGTGTCGTCTTTATCGTTGTATTTGTTGACTGTACTGTACTGTACTGTACTTTTCTATTATGGCTATTGTCGCTATTGTTATTTTTGTTCTTGTTAGAATTGTAGTGGTGGTTGCTGGTGCTCAATTGGTAGCTTGTTCAAATGGTTTCAGATGGCAATGAGATTGCATGCTAAGATTGAGTTGTGAGACGCCATATTGTTTTACGCCTGTTTGCAGGTTACAAGCATATAGTTGCATAATTTAATAATACTGGTAATTGATTGGAAACAAACTAACAAGCAATATATCTGCATGCGCAGATACAAAAGGCAAGATTATACTTACATTCCGCTTCGGATCATTTGTGTGGCGCATTCCTTGTGGACCTTGTGTGAACACGGTAGGATCTGGCATCCTGTAAATGCGTCCTGTGAGAAACAAACACCCATACACAATTAATTGCTTTTGTTTTCAATATTTTATAGCCATTGTACAGTTCATGCATGATGCATGCCAAACTGAAGCCCCGTTTACACTACGCTCAATTTTTGGTACGGCACGGATAAAATTGGTACCCGTACCACTTTTTTGGTTCTTGGACTACCTATTTAGGTAGTCCAAGAACCAAGAAGTGGTACGGTACCAAAAATTGAGCGTAGTGTAAACGGAGCTTAGCTAAATAGCTGGTCCAAGAACAAAAAAAGTGGTACGGGTACCAATTTTATCCGTGCCGTACCAAAAATTGAGCGTAGTGTAAACGGGGCTTTAATTTGCTGACAGAGGTATGCAGTCTTTAAATAGCCTGCGAACAGGCTCACTGGGAGAAAGGTGAGCCTGCACGGAACCATGCGTTTTATTCAATCATCCCCTTTTCGCATCTGCTAAACGCGAACCAATCAGCGTCGACTGCGATAAATAAACTGTCAAATTGACGCAAGGCGTGTACATTGTGCAACGAAGAAATACTGAATATTAAAATGTATACATAATGTATATATGAACAATAATACAAAGCATTAGCGGGCCGCACAATATATTACTCGGAAAAATATAGAATTCTTCAAATATTAAATAGATATCAATACACATACAAATATAAAGCCGAATAAAATACTACCATTGGCATTGAATGTACAGTAATACTTGTACTATGTGCGACTGAAAGAACAATGTTCTGAATATTTTGAAGCTATTACTAAAATACGGTCAGATAGATTGGGATTTGGAATACCGAATACGTTTAAAATTTTACTAACTGTGGTCTAAATAAATGATAAATGAGCATGTATTTATTAATTTCTCCGAAATCACGAGTGTGCCAATAGTGGAAGCCGTATCGACGACGAAATTGTCAGCAGTTAATATACAGCAAATAGTACAACATGAATTTTTTTTTCTGTGTTGGTGTAGTGTACTCAGGTGAATATGATATTTGTGGTGTTACTCTGAGTGTATATCCACACCGGGCGAGCTTGAAAAATATGCCCGGTCACGGTGGGTTTCGAACCTACGACCTTTGGAATACTAGCCCAATGCTCTTCCAACTGAGCTACGCGGTCAGGACGGTTCGAGTAAGTGATATTTCGGAACAGAATTCATATTTAATATGAATTCTGTTCCGAAATATCACTTACTCGAACCGTCCTGACCGCGTAGCTCAGTTGGAAGAGCATTGGGCTAGTATTCCAAAGGTCGTAGGTTCGAAACCCACCGTGGCTGGGCATATTTTTCAAGCTCGCCCGGTGTGGATATACACTCAGAGTAACACCACAAATATCAAATAGTACAACGTTTAATGTACAATATATATTTATCTAAATGACATGCCAGCGAGGATCAACAATATAATTATTCGTACATATTTGGGTATCTTTTGCATGCCTTCGCTTGCTGACTTGCTCACTAATGAGAATAATCCGTGAAGCCACGACGACCTCAAAATGTACTATACTATAGTCTGATGTCAATCCGAAGACGAAGTTCAGAATACTGTTATAGTTTCGTATATTGAATTTAAGCGATAGATTCAAGTCATTTATGATAGACTTTTTGCTGTGATGCTTTGCTATTGCTTTTGGTTTCCATTTCTAGTTTTATTTGTTCGATAGTCTTATAATATATAATATTAAAATGAATAAAGTTCAAATTCTTCAAAATGCTGTTGTTGACATTAGCTATTTTTAGTAATTTTGTCAACGAGTGTAAGCCAATCAGAAGCCTGCGTTTCTATACGAACGCCACTACCAAGAAAACCTATCATCCGTGCAGGCCCTCTATTCTTCGCGCCGCCCGCAACCCAGGGCCTGTTCGCAGGCTATAAAGAACGGAAACCGAAACGACCGAATCCGGAAACGACCGAAACCGGAAACGACCGAAACTGGAAATTCCCGCCTAATTTCCTGCATAAAATTGCCTAAAATTTAGCCTGCTCTGAACCATGCGTTTTATTCATTCACTCGTATAATAAACAAAGACTGTCAACTATCAAATTGACGCAGGGCGTGAAATGTACAACGACGAAATGTATAAAACAAGTGTGTAAACTCCAGAGATCGATAACATTTTTATATTTATCAACGTTTCGACTATATTTCAATCATCATCAGGATAAAGAAATGTGTATAACAATAATACCTGCATGTGATAATACGAAGCATTAGCAAGCCGCACAATATATTAAATATAGGCTGCAGATAATACATTACGAGTTAATCAATACACATACAAATTAAAAGTTGAATAAAATACTACCACCGAATGCAATAATACTTGTACTACTTGTGATTGAAAGAACAATGTTCTGAATATTTGAAGCTATTAAAATGCAGTCAGATAAATTGGGATTTGGAATACGTCTAAACGAGCATGTATTTAATTTTTTCAAAATCAAGAGCGTGCCATTTTAGTGGAAGCCGTATCGTATGTCAAATGAGAAAGTGAATGCAATATCGTTTTTATTAAATTAAACAAAACCGGCATGAACCGGCATTGTTCAGAAAGTTAATAATATGCAGTAAGTTTAAATAATTGACAAAATTGTCAGCAGTTAAATCGTATACAACCTTACTTTAATTTCGGACGATATTTATCTAAATGTTAGGCCACTACAAGTTGATCTTTAGTTTCTGGTCCGCCGCCCGCGTCCCTTCTCCGTAAAGTATTATTTCAGGACTATTTTGTTATTTACAATTAATTTCTAGTTCTTGAAAATTTTCGCGAAGGATTTAACTTCTACAACGATAAACATTCAATTTACACTAAAAAGACCTAGCAAAATGTAATATTGAATGGTAAAACCGCTGCCTTTAATATCGAGATTACGAAGTAAAAAAACTAGAAATATTAATAGATCATTTTGATATGTAAAATCCTTTGTAATCTGTCATACATGTCGATTTATAAATAATATAAATGCAATTTATGTAAAATTTCATCCCATCATGCATTGCCTGGCAACGATATCACAGCCACTGATCTATATAGATTCCAATTAACGAGGTTGCCCAACAAAGGGCCTGCGGAGGAGGCAGAAGAAGGACCACAAAAATGTGGGCAAAGCCACAATTGTAATTATGTCCTATAGTCCAAACCACCCGCCCGCCCGCGTCTTAAACAAAGGTAAAGCCGGACCATAAACTAAAGATTAACTTGTAGTGGCCTTATGCCAGCGATCGAGCATCAACAATAAAATTATTCGTTATGCGGGAAATTTAGGCGGGAATTTCCGGATTCGGTCGTTTCCGGTTTCCGTCGTTTCCGGATTCGGTCGTTTCGGTTTCCGTTCTTTACAGAGACCCTTACAATTACTTGTTCTAAAATGTAATTATAAAGTACAATGAAAAACTAATTACTCCCGAAAAAAGGAATTAATTACAGGTTCCTTTACCAGCAAATTGTTACTTAGTTGTAAATAAAAACGGTATAAACTATGAATTTGAAGTTTAGATGTATGTAACGAAAACCATATTAGTGTCATAGCAATAGTTTTATGCAATAGCAATCCCTATTTATTAATGTGTAGAATAGAAATAAGTATAGTGTGAAGTCAGGGCCGTAGCTAGCATGTATAGTTGGGGAGGAGAGGGGGGGGTAGGCCAAAAATTTCCGAATGACGAAAAAAATTTCCGAATTGAATATTTCATGGCATACGAAGCCAGGAAGGTGTTTGCTATCTGGAAAATGAAGACGCAATTTATAAACAAAAATACGCATATTTTACGCACAGACAACAGCTGGGCATTCTGTTGTCGCTGTCTAAATATTGCGGGCGCATTTCTTTAACAAACATTTTGATTCTTCGAACGCTGAAAATATGCATTGTGAGAGGATTTTTTGTCCTCTTTTACTGGTTTGTTCATGGAAAATAAAGTATTTCTTGAAAGATTAAGTTGTAGTGCTTGTACGCAACGATATAACGACTTAATCGCATGAAAACGTGCGAAGAATTTTTATTTACAAATGGGCGACAAGTGGAAATGTTTCACTCATTGTCAGAGTTTCAGAAGCAGGATACAGCAGTATGGAAACAAGGAAGTGTTCATATTTTGCTCTTGATAGAAGCTGAGTTGTTGTTGTTTCCACAGGTATGTTCAATAATTTGTTTGTCCTTCCTCATCTGGAATAATAAGTGTCTTAAAATACATATTTTGATGAAAATGACACATATATTCCTCTTGCAATTTCGTAGAAACTGGCCGTTGCCTTCAGTTAGAAAATATATTTTATGAAAGTTAAATCATACTTTGTTTTATTAAAACCTGAGCTATTCATGGGAAAAATGTGCTAGATGTTGTAATTGAC